AACACATTTCACCTGGACATTGAAAGTGTCTTGCGGCACGTGAGATGTCTTTAAGAGATAGTTTATTATTTGTTTGGTTTTTACTCTTTGTGAAGGATGACGTTGGGAGTCATAGTTGATATTGGTGATGTGCATTAGCCTTATTGGTGATGATATGTATTGAAATTATTGGTGATCGCAAGTGGCAAACATAGCTTTGATTTGGTGACAGCGATTAGAGGATTCTAATCAGGTAATGATGGTTTGATAATTGTAGTTGGTCGAAGGTATGTGATCAAGTTATGATTGTTAGTAGTGGTGGTCGAAGGACCATGTTTAGATGAAGATGGTTAAAGGATTATTATTGGGTGCTGGTAGTTGAAGGACAATTTTGTAGGGCAGTTGGAGGAATGTAGTCAGAGGATCATAACTGATCAATGATAACCGGGCAACCATAATCAAGTGAAGGATCGAGCGATAGTGGTTAAAGGAATACGGTTAGATGACGATGGTCAGAGTACCGTGGTCGGACAATAATTGTTGGACAATGATGGTCATGGGACTTTAGTTTAGTGACTATGATTAAGAGATCATGGTCAGACAATTGGGGTCGAAGTATAATGGTTGGGCGACAAAGGTTGGAGGGCCATAGTTTGACGACAATGGTTGAAGAATCATCATCAGGGGATGGTGGTTTGGAGACAGTAGTTGAGCGATGGTTGTTAAAGGGAAGTGGCAGGAATCGAGCAGCTGTAGTTAACGATGGTTGTCAAAGGGCTATTATTTGAGGATGGTGGTTAGAGGTTTATAATTAGGCAATAGTAATTAAATGACCATAGTATGATGATAATGGATAGATGATACAACACATGGAAGTATACCTATTACTCAGGGCAAGGCAAAAAGCTTATGAAGTTCAAACCATGGAAAACAAGACCAACAACAAGAGCACATTATGAAAGAGGTATGCATTTAGTCTAATGTTTTGTGTATTTTCATGTTTTTGATGTTATAAGTGTTACGGGGACTTCATGTTGATGTAATTTGCTCGGTTAGAAGCTTTACATTTAAGTTAAAGTCATGTTATATTTATTACTCCAAGTGGTTTGGTGTAATAAATCATATTTTGACCAAGCGAATTAAATTTTCTCAAGAGTAATTATAAGCAAAAATCAAAAATCGTATTCATCATAGCATAGATATTGTAGTGCTTTAATTATAATTTTTTTTTTTTTTTGTAATTTGGGGCATTGGCGCAAATTATTAAGAAATTTACACATTAGTAAAAGTTGTGGATTTTGGGACCGTTAGATGTCTGTTTTTCAAATTGATTTCATCAAAATTTCTTAAATATGATGTGTTATTTTATGAATATTTTACTATAATTTTTTAAACTTAAAAAATATTGATATAAATTTTATATTGAAAGTTGATTAAATCATATAATTATATTATTATTTATTTATAACTATCTTAAGACAATTAACATAACTTTATTTAATCCAATTTTAATTCATATTCATTCAACTAATAAAAACAGAAAAAAAAAAAGAGAGAAGAAAGGAGGAACAAAATCTTAAGTTTGGAGGTTATTGAGCAATTTTCACTAGTAGGTTATGTTGAAAAATTTGATTGTCTCTTTGTAAGGATTTATTCCCCTATTTCTAATTTTAAGAATTTTGTATATTTTGAATTTTATGCATTTTAATTTTATCAAAACTTACAAAAGTTGCGATGTCTTGATTTTTAGCAAACTTTCATCATATAACTTTTTATATGCGGTAGATGTTAATAATATGAGCATTTTGATTGAAATATTATTGCATTTTACTAGATAAGATAAAAGTTATTAAATTTTGTTTAATTTATACTCAATAAGTTATTTGGTAGCTGGTCACTACTACTATTATAATAATAATATGATTATAATATGTGTGAAGACAAGTAAAAATGTAGTTTCACTGACGTTGACATATACATGATAGTGGGCCGATGAGTTTTCTTTTAAATATTATGCATGTCCGAGGGTTATCCTCTACTTATTCATATGATATACTGATTAGGAGTTATAAAAAATTATTACCATGCTAACAGGTAAAGAGTAATGATTCTGTTTACTGAGCTAGTAGTTTACTGATATTGATACGATACTAAGAAAATGTTGATTAAGATGAGACTTTTTACTTGTTTAGTATGACTATTGAAATACATATTATTGAGATATTGTTCCTATTACTAAATGGATTTTTTATTACAGCACAAATTTTTTGTTACTGTATTATTTTACTGTTTTTGTCACTAGACTGTTATTATTATTGATATAGGCAACAATATTAATTGATACTACTTATTCATTATACTGATACTAAGCACATTATATATTGAGCATGTAATATACATATTTAATATTGATATATAATACTTTGATAGTATATGTACACTTTTATATGCTTTTACTATATTAATATGAGTTTTGATAGTCTTTACTGATGCTTTGACTTTACCGCTTTATACAATTTCTCTACTGAATGATACTATTGATATAACGACTACTTTAATGATTCGACATCGATATTAGTTTACTAATTTTTCCATTATACTAATTAAATAGCATATGTACTGTAGCACTTTACTGGTTACAGATTTTTCTATTATTACTTCATTTTTACATTGATTCATTATCATATTAATGATAATACTATAATGACTGCTAACATGTATATTACTTTATTATCATGTTTTGAGATAATTATAAGATTTGATTATTTGCTGGGCTATTGAACTTATTATGTGGTTAAATGATTTCAGGTCAGTGCAAAAGAGTAGGAGTATAAAATTGATTATGATTATTCAAGTTTAGGTTTTCGTTATTTTAGTTATTCTTTCATACTTATAATAGAATAGTTGTGATGTGATTGTATAGATACTAAATAGTGTATATGATTTTTAGAGAAATGAACACAAATATTTATATGAATGTTTTGATCAATAGTTTTATTTTTGATGGCATATATTTAAAAAAAAGAAATTAGATAACTCTAATTATTATATATTAAAATATAACATAATAATTTTTTTAAATTAAATTATGAGACATTACACTTGAAAGCATGGTGTTTGGCCATATCCAAGGCATTTGGTGAATTTCTTGAATACCCTATTTTGATTAGTTGGTTGTAATTTCTTGCAATTTTCTTTCACTTCAAGTTTCTGCCATTGTGCTCTAATGTTTGTAATCCATCTTATCAAAAATACAAAAATCCAATTTTCTTACTCCAAACCAAATTATGATCCTACTTATTAGGGTTGGCCAAGAATTTTGTTTTTGTTAAACTAGTTTTATTCCTACTAGTCATTGATCACCCTAAACTCCATAAAATAACACCCAAAATATCTAGATGTCTTGACAAATTTGTTAAAATCCTAGAGTAAATCAAACCTATTTGTAATTTCGGTTTGTTGTTTTTGCCTAATAACTTTCCCCCTAATAAAATTTAAAAAATTTATGAAAACTTCATAAAAATATCAAAACTTTCATATATATATATATGGAGCTTCCTTGGTCATTGTCAAATGAAATTATTGAATTCGACCTATTCTATGGAAAAACATAATCAAATATCCAACCTTGGTCGATTTTGGAATGAATAGACCTACATTTTTTCTAGAGCACATATGGACCACTTAAACATCTCCAAACCTTACCAAACTCTCCTTAATTAAATTAGATATTTTCACCTTCAAATTAAGCCTAGATTTGGAGTTTTGTAGAGGAAGAAACAATTTGTAGAAGTTGATTTTAATCTCTAAATAAATTATAGGAATTGTCAGTTTCCACCCAAAGTCAGTAAACTTGATCTTTACCTTCAAACTAAAACCTTAAAATCAACCATTACTCTTCTAATTATTTTAGAAGAGTCCACATCCACAAATTGACACCCTGTGGATACCCTTAGTGATCTAAGCCCTACCATCACACCCTATTATTAGATGATCACATTCGATCTATGGTGTTTGGTGGATCATAGTTAGCAATGATAGTCGAAGCATTGCACTTAGGTAAAGATAGCCAAGAGATTGTAATTAGAAGACGGTGGTTGAAGGATAGCAATTAGGTAATGGTAATCGAAGGATCATGATCGGATGACTATAATTAGGCGATAATATTTTTTAGAACCGAAACCAAATGAGAATATTCGAAGGATTGTAGTCATGCGACAACATTCAAATGATCATAATTTGAGTGAAGGAAGCCCAATGCAGATGATTAGCGATCATGATTTGATGATGATTGTAAAATAATTGTAATCTAATGGTAGTTGTTAGGCAATTGTTTGATGGCTATGGTATAAGCAAATTGATTTGATGCACTCTATCAAGTGATGGTTCGACACTAGCGCTTTAGTAGAACTTTAACTTTTTTAAGCCTCCAAGCTCACTTACATAGTTACATGACAAGTTAATATTCAAGCCCCTTCCTGTAGAAATTGTATGCCTATTTATAAAATTTGAAAAATGACATATCACAAATACAAAAAAAATATGTTAACATTATATTGTTTAGCTTGTATTGATTCCCTTAAATAACTATATTCATCTCACATCAAGACGCTCAATTTAATTATAAATAATAAAATTCAAAAATCATTTAATTTTCTTCTAAATATCTTAAAAATTTTTAATTATACATAAAATATTTACTTCTAATTATTTGAAATTGAAGTGAATTTTTTTTTAATGGTTTCATCTCATGAAACAATTAATTTGATTATAAATTTTTTGAAATTGAAGCTCAAATTTTTATGAATTTAACTTTAAAAACTTCCATTTAAAATATGCATTCATATTTATGCTTGCTATTTTTTTCTAATGATTTTACAATATCAAATTATATATATAATACAAAAAAGCATTTAGATTTAAAAATATTATTATAGCAAAAATTAGGCTGTAATAAAAATAACATAAATAAAAAGGACAATAAAATAATATTAGCCCATAGATCTTCAAAGCGTGGAAAGTTCAACCAATCCCCCAAAACCTACTCCACTCATTAAACTACGAGAAATCTACACTGTTCGTTCAATATACTGTTTCTATTCAAACTCTTGAGTCTTGACTTTTTACAGCACCCCGCTAATTAGTCAACGGGGGAAAACGATATTCAAAGAAAAAGAAAAGAACAAATTAGAGCAAAATAAACAATCTAATAGAGGCGAATCGAACGGCTCAGATCACGCGTTGGGGATCGAGGACGATGGATACCGGCGGCTTGGAATGTATGTGCTCGCCTTCGTAGGTCACGATAAGCATTGAAGGGTCGTCGGTTGCGCGCTCCACGTGCTTCCTCGCCGGACAACCGCGCACGCCGCTACACTTGTAATAGCCTCTGCGAGAAAGAGAACAAGAAGAGGGTGAGATTACTGAGAATATCACAACCGTTCAATCACCATCGGTTGGTGGGAGATCTACCTGGGATACGGCGAGCCTTTGATGGGTTTCTGCCCGTATTTCCGCCACGAGTACTCGTCGGCCGGAATATCGGCTATCTTGGAGCTAATCGCCGGCACGCGGATTACAGATTTAGCTCGATTCTTCCTGCAAGAAGGAAAAACGGGTTAGGGTAAGTCGGAGATCTATTAATGAGCGTGAAAAGCGACGGAGAAGATTGATTTGGGGGTTTACATGCGCTTGGTGCAGTGGCATCGGCCGCCGGAAACGGCGGAGATCTTGACGGAGATATTTTCCTCTGGTTTAGCATGTTCGTGACAACGTTTCTTATAGGATGTTGAGGAAAGAGGGGGTTTTCCGGCAGCAGCGGGATGGAGGGCGGAGGAAGACTGGCGGCCGTAGGACACGCTTCCGTCTCCGGTTATTGATGAAATAAACGACGAATTAGCGGACGAGATGGTGAGCGTCTTCTTCGCAGCGGCGATGGGGATTTCTACTGATGTGCCGCCGATAGAGTTCGGCTTGGTGAAATTAAGGGGCTGGAGGTTGGGGGTTTCCGTTCCCGTTGTCGTTGAAGGAGATGATGGAGAAGGCGGGGTTGGGCCACGGCGGAAGCGGGCGTGACCGGTACGATTAAGTAAAGAAATCATCTTCTTGAACTTAGAGACTGTTTGATCGGTAATTTCCCTGCAATCGATCTGATTCGCAGCCATTTCTGGGGAAATCGCCGTCGAAGTCGAAGAAGACGAAGCCGACGACTTATGGTAATGGTTGAGTTGAAAAATTAAGTTCTCCATGCTCCGAATCCCCGCTACCGCCACCTCCTGCACTGAAATCTTGCCGTCCATCTTCGTGTATCCGATGAGATCGACAGCCATGTTGCTTGCTTCGGATCTGAGGAGAAGGAGATTTGTGAGTGAGTGGAGGAAGAAGAAGAGGGCCTGGTTTTATAAATTTAAAGGAAGAAGAATCTAGTCAAAAAGGAGCAGTGCTGGATGGACGGTTCAGATTACAACACTGACCTCGTGATGCGAAAGGGGGAGAGAAGCTTCGGTCAGACCTTGGACTTTGTCTTAATGGAATTATTAACGTAATTATTTGGCCGTCCGATAGGTTAGAACTTTGGACTCCGGGCCATGTGCTGGCCGTCTGATCGTTGGTGTTGAGACTGCCCATTTTACCCCTGCTCGGCCGGCTTGTGAACTTCGGGTCAACTGAGGGAACGTTGGTGCAAGAAATAAGGTCCTTTATTATTTTTTCCTTTTTTAACCTTTAGAGGAGAAATTATTCTCCTCCGGAAGTAGCCAAATTAAATGATGCTGTGGGGTTCTTGAGGGCTTCCCTCGGAATAAATTTTAGTTGTAAGAAAAAATTTGAAGTTTTGATTGTATTTATTAATTTATTATAATAAAATTAGTTTTTTTTAGTTCAGTTCATACTAATAACGTTTTTGCAAAATTCATTAAATGTGTATGAAAACATTTCTAAAAAATAATAATATAATGAATAATTTATTATGATTTTTATACGCTTTCACTATAATTTGAATGCATTTTTACTGGATGTGCTTTTGCCGAGTAATGAATGATTTAGACATTCGTTAAATTTAATTTTCATTTTTTTTTAATTTAGATCATTTTATTATAAGTGCTTTCAATATGAATTAAATTTGTAAGAACATTTTATCTAAAATGGCAATTCAATTTGTAATTCATTGTGTTTTCACTGTGGTTTTTAAACGCTTTCAATGTGTTTTTACTATGTTTTTACTGTGTAATGAGTTGTTTAGACAATCGTCAATTTTAATTTTTAAATTTTTTTAGTTCAAATCATTTTGATATAAATGTTTTAACTATGATTTAAATTTGTAAAAAAAGAGCATGGAAAATGTCAATACAATGTGTAATTCATTACAATTTCACGGCGCTTTGATGTGCTTTACTGCTCTTTTGCTATGGTTTTGCTGCGTATCAATGTTTTCGATAATTCGTCAAATTTATTTATTTTTTTAGTTTAGTTAAATCTTTTTTATATAAGTGTTTTCCCTATGAATTAAATTTGAAAAAAAAAATCTAGAAAATAACATAATATAGTCTAATTTACTATACTTTTGATGTGCTTTCAGTACACTTTTGCTACGTATTATAATTTTCGACTATAGTCAAATTTAATTTTCAATCTTTTTTTAGTTTAGATCATTTTTCTTGGGACCAATCTTCCCCCCATCTAACATGGTATAAGCTGTGTGATATCATATTATATCGGGTTGGGTCATGACATTTGTGATATTTATTTAGAGAGATACTAGGAGAATTCATTCTTGATTTTCTTAAAACTTGCATTTTATTTTCTTGGAGAGTAAAGAGTTTTCTAAACAAAAAAATCGATGCCCTCTTCCCTCTAAGTCAAAATCCTTAAAATTTTATTTTGTTCCCCCTCACCTTATTCTAAAAAAGTTCTATACAACAACAACAACAACGTGAAGCCTTTATCCCACTACGTGGGGTTGACTACAAAAATCTTTTTTTTCCTCTTTGTATCTAATTAAGAGTCAAATTTTTATTTAGTTCTAATAAATAAAGGTCATTTCAAATATTTATAATCAAATCTTTTTAAGTCTACCTCCACCTTTCTTAATATAGATTAAATCTTATACATCTAATTTTCTAACCTGATCATCAGAAAACTACCATTTTATGTGACCAAATCATCTAAGACGGCTCTCTGTAATTTTGTTTGTCACTAGAGATACTCCAATCTTTTCACATATATGCTCATTTATTATGAATCTTAAAAAAATCATATTTTACTTCTTGAATAAAACAAAATAATTTTTTTAAAATTCATTTAAAATTCAAGAGCACAATTATAAATAATCAGGAAATAAATTTAAAAAAGATTGATCAAATTCAATAGGGTGAAATTAATGCTCCAACGATTACATTTAAATGAGCTATCTTCACGATTAAGAATCCAAATTTTGAATGTCCAATTTCCTTTGGACCTTCTAATAAATTTAAATAAAAAAACGAAGCTCTCATCCATGGGGCCCGCCATCTCTGACTTTTTTAAAAAATTAGCAATGTGGCAGCTGGACGCAATACGAAGTATACAAAGCAGAAGTCAAATCTAACAAACAGACGAAAAAAGTCAACCGATGAGGGAAAACGAGACAAACTCCTTACAAAAGCCTCAAAGAGAACGTGACGTTAAAGTGTTCCGCGGGTTCTCTTTCCTCCCACAAACGGAAGGTTCTGATGCAATATATTCCCATATCGGACGGCTCGAATACTCCAACCTTGCTTCGTCGCCACGGCTCTTCGCCTATTTTACCGAGAAAGGCAATGCAATGCATCGTTATTATTCTATCGTTGACTTTCTGGTTCCACCATTCGAATAAAATATTAAGAATTATTAACAAGTCGCGGATCGATGCGACGTGGCTTTCGTCAGTTACAAAGTCAATGCGATCAATTGATCACGACCGTTGGATCGGCAACCGGCTGATGCGCCTAATCCCGGTTCCATCGCCCGACTGAGTCGGTCAACCTCTTCGAAAGTCTAGGTCAGTGGTGGGTCCCAGCAAGCAGTCAGCATCCAATTTTTTCTTCGTTTTAGAAGAAAAAATAATTGCATGCCCTTTTTGTCATTCTACGTTACCTAAAATCGAGACCAAGAAATTTGACCGCGAACACGCTGGTCGCTGATGGAGGTTTGTGTTCGTCGAGTGTACGGTTCGACTCGGTGTGAGACTTGACTTTTTTTTTTTAGGCGCAAGAAAAAAAATTATTAATTATTTGTTTGTGCTCTCCAATTCGAATTAACAAGGAAGATGAGTCCTCAATCATTCAGGCAACAAATTCACCACCTGTCTTGATAATTTGAAAATGGAATTTTTATTTGAATGAATTTTTTATATATTTATGTATATAAAACTGAATAAATAAACAAAATGATAGAGTTGGACTATTTCGATGAAAAATTTTGAAAATTAATATATATATGAAATATGATTTTATTATGTGATATGAGGTTTTGCTCTCCTTTCGCGATGTGTTGTATTACGGTAACCTTCTCGCAAGGCGTTTCTTTTATCGCAGCACTGTTCTTGGCCTCAAGTGTCTCTTTTAGCCTCAGGGAAGCTTCTTTGCCTTATTCTTTGTGTTATCCGTATTTTTTTTGTTATGTTTTGGTTGTTTTTGTCGTTGTCGTCTATTTTTGATCAATGGAGGGAAAATATTTGGTAGATCACGATTTGTTGGTTATCAAATCTCTTCTAGTTCATTTCATGATGCATAATTTGATAGCTATTCTTCTTCGCTTTTTTCGGACCTCAAAATATCTTCTCATTGTGAGATATCCTCGTTGCAGATTTCAGAAGATGTAATTCTATCACTTGCAGCTCCTTTCGTGTTCGCAGTAGTTGGCAAATTGCCTTCCCGTAGACCTACGCTTGAGGCTATTCGCAATTTTTTTTTCAACCTTAAGTTCAATGGTAAATTTTCGGTTACCGTTCTAAATCCTAAGCATGTGTTAATCAAACTTGTTAACAACTTGGAAAACTGTTGTGTGTTTTCTCACCGCTCCTATTTTATGAACAATTGCTTCATGAAGGTGTTTAAGTGGACTCCTACATTTTATATTGAAATTGAATCGCTCATTCTTCCTATATGGGTTTCATTTCCCAACATGAGATCCCATCTATTTTCTCCTAGGATTCTTCATGGCGTTGTGTTTGGTTGCCATCTTAAAATTGATCATGTATAATCCACTGGCTCTAGTCCTTCAGTTGCACGTGTCATGGTGGAATTGGATGTTACCAAAAAATTTTCCAATGTGGTGTGGGTTGGTCCTGATAGCTTGGGTTATATTTAGTCAGTGGTTATGGAGGCATTTTCCTCTTATTGTTCTCATTATAAGTCTTTGGGGTACTCGAAATTAGAATGCAATATCCTTCATCCCCATTTGGCTAAAGCCCCTACTATTTTGAATAATGTGGGTGAAATAAATCCTATAGCTTATGAGCAAGTCAATATTTGTAGTGATTTACCTGTTGTCGATGCTAATGGTCATATGTTTGCTTCTGAAGTAAGTGCCTGATATGGGTGTTGCTGATGTTCTTGTTGTTCCTACGGGAGCTGTGGTTGGTTTAGACCCTCCTGCAGTTGATTTGGAGGGGGCTCTTGTCCTTGTGGGGTTCTCTTTGGTTGTTTCACTTACTGTTATTGAGAAGTCCCTTAATGGTTTTGTTTATGCTGATAACCAGGTGGAGGTGTTGTTGGGTCAATGTGTAATTAATAAGGTGATGGTTAATGGATCATCTGAGTTGGGTATTATAACTTAAAGTTCTCCTTTAACTGTTTTGGATACACCATTGGATGTGCTTGAGCTTGCTCACTTTGTTGATGTACATGTCTCTCTAATTTCAAATGATGCGTTGAAAGCGTATGTGGCTAGTAAGTTGATAGAGTCCTCTATTTATCATTTTGATTGGATGGATGCATCATCTAGGGGTTGATATGGCTGTTCCACATGACGCGTTTCGTGAATTATATAGTTTGCATGTGGGTCATTTTGTTGACAAAGCTTTATCCCTTGGTTGCGGCAGGCGTCGTAGAAGAGGTAAGTATCTTTGTTCTTAAATTCTTTCATTTGGAGCTTCTTTCGCCAGCGGTCGACGAGGCTAGGACATTGTTGGGTTGCCATTCTCTAAGAAGAAGATTGAGGAATCAAAAAGTTGACAAAGAGGCAATCTCAAGTGATATGTCTACATTGTAATTTCTTTAAAGAGATGTGTACCTTCAAAAGATATACATATATTCATTCATTGGAAGCCATTGTAAATTTCTCGTGGAAGTTAATAGAAAAAGCTAGCTCTCTTTCTCCCAGTGGATGGAGGCACCCTGTGCCGAACCATGTAAATCTAGCTTGTTTGTATTTTCTTAGAGGCTAATTTTATATCTTAGCATGTATCTTGTTTATAAGTTTTTCAAGATAGTGAAGATGCTTGATATAAAAATGTTGATTCATGTTAGCTTCCTGTTTGGTAAGATCTTGCAAGTTAATATTGTGATTTAATCAAATACATGTGAGAATAAATTTTATTGAAATTAAGAAGCATATTAGTCATTTTATTGTGCAAAAATCAGTAAAAAATGTAACCAATTAATTGATTAATTAGTTGTTAATTCACTGATTTTATTTTTGTAAATAAGATCACAATTTAGATTTCACTAGCTTGGTTTATTTATTTCAATTGTAGGCAATTTATGTTTTCTAATCATTTAGTAACTCAGTTTGGATAAGATCCTAAATCTGTTCCACACTTTAA